GTCCACGTGTGTACATGGACAGTCGCTGAATCAACACTGGCACACCAACCAGAGAGCACAAGTGGAAAATTGGGAGAAATGCACTTAAAACTGAGAACAAGAGGTACTTCTTTCTTTACTCAGAGTTCTGGGAGCAGAGAACCAACTACCCAGCCAAGCTGCTGAACTTGATACCCTGGCTTCATTCCAGCAAGGGCTGGAAGAGATCCTCAGACCAGTTAACTACTAACAACCAAGCAGGCTAAACAGGCTACATGCTTTTCCCTTATGTTCTCAATTCCATGGTGTTGAGCGCTTACTCTTTACATTTCCAGTTCATCACAGATCCCCCAACGTAACAGCACGGAACTCCAGCTTGGCACTGAAATTTAACTATATTAAAGATGCACAGACGTTGCCTTCTGCCTACTGGACCACACCTGCAGCTTGCAACACCTGAAATGGCTTCACCTTCCAAGGAGAAAGTCCCCAGTCTTTCCTAGTTCTCTTTATATCGCCAACAACCAACACCCCAAGGACCATGGAGAAAGGCCCAGCTGCATCATTTCAACCACGACCTGCTTCTGAAAAGGCTCACCAGGTGTAAAAGCCTTTTGGAACACTAAAGAAACGGGTATCCTACTGGATTTTCCGGATCCCGAGGACAGGGACTGGGAACTCCAGGATTCTACAGGGGATCTCCCCCATACACAAGTATGGACACGCAACAGTTCTGTAGGCACAAGGGAAGCTAATCTCTTCCCAGTGTCTGCTCAGGATACGCACACTGGGTCCTAGTCCTGAAGGGCTCCCAGGTCTCACTTGCCTGACCTGCAGTTCTGCAAGGTGAGAACACCAGGCAAGGCGCCTTCTCACGTCACTCCCCCTCCCCACCGCACAGCTTCCAGGAGTGGCACCATGGAGACCGGCCCCAACACACGCGCTTCACCCCCTCCTCATCCACATGCTGATGAGCTCACGCATTCATGGAAGCGGCACTGCAGCGGCACCAGGGCAGGTGGACACCTGCTCAGTGCTGGCCGGTTAGCCAGAGCCCTATAATCACACCCTCGTTCCACAGAGCGAGCCCTGGCGCAACGGCCCTGTTAGACATGCATGCACTCTGCCCAGGCATCCCTCAGATTATGATCCACAAGCATCGATTAAGACGCATAACGGGAAAGAGCCAACACACTTCAAGGTCTACCAGTGAAGCAGCCAAGAGAAATTCACAGAACCATATGGCAGCAGACACACACAGCAGCACTGCAACTGGACCCAGGTGTGCGCTCACACAAGACCCTCAGGATGACTGCAAGAGGTGCTTCACATCTAATGTATTTTTAGGATGGCATGGTGGTGAACACCACTGCCTCCCAGCTCCTGGGTTCAGGGCCTGATTCTGGGCTGGTGAGCCTTCTGTGTGGAGTTTGCATGTTCTTGGATGGGCTTCCCATCCAGGGTGTACTCTTACCTTGGACCCTGTGCTTTTCCCCAAACTGCCACAACCCCTACAAGGATTACGTGGCTTTCTAATTATTCCTGGACGAAGATATTTATGTTCTGGCTGTTTCTGAAACCTGAAATAACCGTGTTAACGTCGGCGGCTTAGGCTGGAGGTGTCCCATTGTATCTGGGAATGTTTTGGGAGCGGTGGTCCGGCGTGCCTTCACAGGAGAACCCCGACACGAGCTCCCCGGAGTAAGAGAACTTGGTCTACGGTAACGTGCATCGGCCATGACGCGGCACTGCCTGCCCCCGTCCAGGACACGCCCACGCAGGACAGTGGACGCACTGGGAAGGAAGCTGCTCCACTCTCGAGTGAAGCTCATGTGTCTGGAACAACGCATCACACATGCCTAACAAACCACACTTTCACTGTACTACGCCAACTCGTCTGCAAAGGGGGGGCGGGGTGGGGCAAGGCAGCCTATCTCCAGATCGGTAACGTCCCGGGTCGCCTTCCCAGGGAAGAAAAAAGAGGAAAAGCCGGAGGTTGGCAGCGCGAACGCCTTACACCACGTAACGCCTTTTTGAAACACAAGCCATTTTACAAAGGGCTCCGAGCTTTCTATTCTCCACACAGCTGGGATTTCAGAATGACACCATAATCCCTTCCTGTGACATGTGGAAACAAGCAGAGGCTCAGATCTAGGAATCCTGAAGCAAAGGAAATAAAGGAGACATTTAAATAAGAGACATGCTGCTTTCTGGATTACAGGAACAAACCCTGCTATCTGGTGATAGTTAGCAGAAGAGAACAAGAACGTACAGTAGTCTACAAACAAGCTCAAACCACCTTTTATATTATACTTTAAAAGTCAAAATTACAGAAGGGAAAAGCTTAAATACTGATACCTACACCCCAGCCCTAACATGTGCTCCATTACTCCCGTAATGCATATTATAGACAAAAATAAAAGAAGCCTTACTTTCCAGCCTTCCACCCGATGGTCTCGATAAGTATTTTAAGCAAATATCTCAAACTAGGATAAGAATATCTCAATAACTAAACAAGGATCAACATGCAAGTGTGTTTTGCTCCCCAATAACTTATATTCCTTCCAGAAATTTAGGTGCAACATTACTGCAGATGTGCTCGTACACCGACACTCGCTGTGCAGAATGGGAATAAATCACATCTGATGTATTTCAACCAAACCTACTGCTAGTCTTCACAGTTTTTAACCCTAAAGTGCTTTTAACCATGCACCACGCTAGGGCAGGTGGCTGTGTCAGCGTGCAGGCTTCAAAGGGAATGAGCTTAAGGTTTTATTGTTTGAGCTTGATTGCCCCTAGCCTGCGTGCAGTGCTCTGGGACAGTCAGTGTTCAGGTTCTACAACAGTCTAACATGGCAAAACAGCATGCCCTCACCCCAGTATGCCACCCATCGTACACACTGTCACACAGTAGAGTTTTCTTTTAGTGGTTCTAAGTGCAGGTAGTATGTAAGTCGAAATAGACAGGAAAAGCATCTTTCAGCATTTAGTAGACTACTATACTGAAAAGTGTTACAGTGTGGAATATTAGCTTATGCCAAGCGACCTTATTAAGTGAAGTCAGGAAATGTTGTTTGATGAATGCACACGAGATCGTAATGTTAAAATCGAGTCACCAACTCTTCAATTGTTTTTATGCATTTAGCATTAAACCCCACACACAAAAAAATAAGTTTAACAACCCAATTGTGCAACTGAAAGTTATGCACCGTCACCTTTTGACTGCACACTACTTTAAAAACACACTCTAGGTCTCTGTGAAAATGAAATCTAACGGGTTCACACATGGGGTGGTGGAGTGGCACGGAGGCACAGTGCTCAGCATTGCTGTGTCACAGCGCTGGGGCCCTGGGTTCAATTCCAGACCTGCGGTGCTATCTGTGTGGTGTTTGAGTCCAAAGACATAATGGCAGGTTAACTGGCTTCTGGCAAAAATGGCCCTAGTGTGAGTCTGTGGCCTGCAATGGACTGGCATCCCATCCAGGGTGTACCCTGCCTTGCGCCCGCTGCTTGTCGGGTTAGGCTCCAGTGCCCATGTGACCCTGAATTAAATAAAGCAGTTAGAAAATGGATGTGTGGCTAGATGGATATTATTTATCACTCAGTGGAAACACTATTTAAAAAGGTGGAATGGGTTCAGAAATGTACCTCAAAGTTTTAAACAGTCCTTTGACACCTAAAAAGACAGCTCTTGAATTCACACCTGTCCAACACTACCTCGTAACCTGATCTCTTCAGATCTCGGATGTAAATCACATGCAGCCTGGTCGATACTGGGAGAGGAGTCCTTAAGGAAGACCAGGCTGCTACTGTTAGTGGTGCTGGTGGAACAGCAGGGGGCGCTCTTCCTCCTGGACCAGAATCTGCAAACCAAAGCCCCAGTACACTGGGGACACTGTGCTGCAGAAGGTGCTGTCCTTGGATGAGCTGTTATACAGAGGTCCTAGTGACTAGGTCATTAAAGATCCCATGACACTGGAACTTTTTGGAAAAGTAGGGTTGTCAACCCCAGTGCCCTGTCTAAACTGCACTATTGCACAACCGGGCCAGTCTAAATTTCCCATTGATTCAATTGGTGATGCTTATTGTCACTCCAACATCAGATCTATTCTATGGCTGGCCTGCTGTTCAGTGGAGGACAAGAGGGAACATCTTCTATACGTGAAGCAATTTGGGATCCCATAGGATGAAAAGTGCCTTAGAAATACATTGATCAAAGACGGTATTCCAATCAAGGTCAGTAAAGCACTACAAACTAAACTACAGCTTAGACTTGTTCCAGAAATAAACCTTAAGCGTCTTTCTCAGCATGCACCTTGTGTCAAATGTTGTACAGTCACTGCTGTGTTGTTTTACTGATACAACAAACTATCCCTTATGGGCTCTTTTGCTAACAGCTGCCATGACCAGTTGCCAAGCTGATACACTGTCGGCCTATTTCACTTTCAAAAGCGTTCATACGAGTTCAAGACTAACAGAATGTTATTCTAGACATCTACTGCACACAGACAGGGCACAGTTCCAGTAAACAAAGATACCATTCCTCCTTGGAAATTAAGACGAATGCCATCACATGGCAGCTCCGATCCATGTCGGATTTCTGCACTGACCAAGCCCGGCGAAGCAGCTCGGTCCGCCCAATATCTGCAACCCACGCTTCAGGTGAAACAGCGAGCACGCAACACCCGCCATCCACAGAAAGAAACCGCTAAAATTGCTCTGACTTTATTTTTTTAAATCGTACTTAAGACCTTGATCGTCTGAAGACTAGTCTCTGAAACTTCAAAGACTTTACAATTACATGGATTACGTCGCCTCTGCCTTTTTTTGTAAACTTCCGAATTCCCCAATTTCCAGGAAACAAGGGACAGAGACCTCCCGCTAACACAAGGCACAGTCTGACACAATCACTCCCCCCACCCCCTCACCCACGCATCAATTTTCTGGGGTGACCTCATACAAATGACCTATAAAACACGCACAAAAAGATTCCCGTGGGAGGAAATCCCTGGGCTCCGTACCTCATACTGTAAGCCCCGGCTCCGAGCTCTTGTCCGATCCCGGAAAGGCTGGCATCGAAATCCTGGACCAGACCGGACTCGATCACCTCGTCCGCCAGCGGCAGTTTCAGAGCCCATGCCATGGCAAGCACCGGCGGGGCTGGGGGTCCAGCTGGGCTCGAAACGGACACACGGTTCTGGGGTTCCGAATCCAAAACACTCGCAGGGAATCTAGACAAGACACCGGCAGATGTTTTACTCAAACGGAAACTGAGAAGCCCGCAATCGACGCACAGTTCATGCACAACAATACCAATGCAATCTGGTCACTACACTGCCCTATGCTAGTTACGGAAGCGCATTTTAAATAAAACAATAAATATACAATTTAATCCTGCGTTAATCACCGCTACTTTTTGCAAAGCCTGGTGTTGCCGAGTTATGTAATAAATCCAAAACAAATTAACCCGTTATTTTCTAATAACTACAACTAGCAGGTAGCTTTGCCGATGTTTCAAAAGTCGACGAGGTTTAACAAAATAAGACCACCCCCAACCCCTCCAATAAAATAAGCCGGATACATTACATTTAATATCTCCCCGTTTCGTTGGAAATCGCGTCCTTGGGGTGTTTTTTTTTTTTCCCCAAGACAGGTTGCAAAAAAAAAAAGTTTAGCTGCACCGCATTCTTGTCCCCACCTTGAGAAGAAATGGGTTTGAAAGAAAAATATAAAGAGCGGGTTTTAAAGACTGAAGGGTTCGACCGTGATAGAGAGAGGGGGGAAAAAAAACCCCTCAGCTAACGCGGTTTAAAAATAAATGCGCTGTTAAAAGAAAGCTGCGAACCATGTCAGCGTTTGTTTACCCGCTAACACTCCAGCCCGCAGTTCGTCAACATGGTGGAAGTACGTACCTACCTGCATCGTTTGACCCCGCGGCCTCCGCCACGCCCACATCCTTGAAAAGCGGCCCTCCTGCACCAATCAGCAAAGACCTTCCTGGAATCTCCGGAGGCTCTAGGCCAATCATAATACCCGATTCCCCCTTAGAGGGGCGGGTCCTGCCGACCGGAGAGAGAAGTGGACATCGGTGGTGTTTTTCGCAAAATGGGTGGGAAGGAACCCTCTCCCCTCCATCACTACCATCGTTACAGTACCACAAAAAAAATGGAAGGGGGGGGGATTGCTTTTTAAAGGCACAGGATACTTTGTTGAGTGTTTCTCCGTATACCCCATTCCGCCTCTGACACATCTGTTCATGCAGGGTCCTTTAAATAAATTGGCGGTTTATTAAATATCAAATATCTACAGGTTTGCCGTCCTGAAACGATGCGTTTGTTGCGTCCGCACTTGCACTGTGTTTAATCACCTTCGATGCAACTGGCCTCATCTTCCTTTGAGTACGTCAGACGTGACTCTTTATTTCCAAATAGGGGTAATTTCCCCCCCTAACGTTTGAACTCTGTAGACAGGCTGTGATCGCCGAGGACAACATTTTATCTTCAAGATTTCAGGGAAGAAAGCATGATATATATATATAATTTCGGCTTTATTTTTTCCATGTTTAACACGGGAAAAAAATAGTTGTTATACATTTTCTTATCACTGTCATGTGCTGAGATGCATCTCAAATCTACTACCCGATTACCCTTCTTAACCTCTCCTTGGAAAATCAGATTTGAATCAATCTTTATTCGTAGTGTCTTAATTCCATAGAAAGGGTCTTAGTACAGGCGACCTCTAACTCTCGCCCTTCCAGGGTTAATTCAGGTGAGTTTTGCAACGTTAAATAAACAAGACTATCAGTATTATAATGTAACCACTATTACAGTGCATTTTCAGTACTAGGTAGTTAAATTATGCAGTATGTGCTGAGTGTCCCCAATCTGTTGGCAGCTCAGATGATCAATTTTCACATCGGAATCAGTAACATGCTCTGGTGTCACAAGTATAAAAACACAAGGCATCAGTAATCGAATACCATTTCATTCTGACTTGAAAGTTCAGTGACTTTATTAACAGAAACAAACTCAAACTTAGTTAGACCAAGTTTTAAAAATTCATACATTAAAAGTTATATTTTGTGACCTGACACAGGTATCTAGTTCATTTTATTTATACATAACTCATAAAAATGCAAACAGGGAGCCACTAGAACTTTTTTAAATTAAATGACATTAATAAAATAAATAGAATTAGTTTTTTTAAATATACTTTTTTATATAAACAGGCTATGTCTGTTGTTTTTTTTACACAATAGGAGAAATCGTCAGTCCAAAGGAATTAATTCTCTAAAGACAATGTAAGACGGAGAGTTTCTGTTCAAATTAAAAACGGTGTGGCAGAGGGTTCAATGTGAAGTTTCATGGCTTTTTCATAATTTCATCTTGTAAGTTGCAACTTCTATATTAGGCCACACGTTCATGCTAAATAACAAGGCGCTTACACCTTTTAAAAGTTTTCCCAGCTGTGAACCTTTTAAAATATGAAATTACATTTCTTAAATCAGTTCATGAATTACTTTGATTAGAATATTTTAAAACAAGACAGGTCGCCTACATTTCCTTTCTTGAGAATTTGAACAGTTTAAGTCAGTAGCTGCGTCAGCTACTAAAATAAAAGTTTATTCCATGCTGAAAAGAGAAGAAAAGAAAACACAACGTTTCGGCTGTGGAGCCTTCCTCACACCTGAAGAAGGCTACACAGCTGAAACGTTGTTTTTCTTTTCTTCTCTTTTCAGCATGGAATAAACTTTTACATGTTCCTTCGAACAGTTTACGCAACTCCTTGTCTGCACGGTCAACTGAGGCAAAGTTCCTCTATTTTTGTTTTCAAAGTGCTAGAATTAATGCAATTTCCAGCACATCCTCTTAGCTATGTGTGGCTTTCAAAACACTTTTTTTTAAAGAAATACAGGTCGTTTATTGGCCAAATATTGTGAAGATGGAATGGTTTTATGATCAGATCGTCACAATGAAAGCAATTTGCGCAGTGCAGGAAAACAAAGGCAGAAGATACTGAAAGCATAACGTAAGATGTACATATTAAGTCGCTGACTGAAAATAGCATTAAACCTGAATAACTGGGTCTCTTGGAGACTAGGGCCGGATAAATGCATGACAGAGAAGAAAATGATTAACGCTAGTGTTCAGGGCTAGAGCAGGCAGTGAGAAAATAAACACTGTTCAAATGCTCAGACAAGAAAATGTGATGTAACTGTCTCTACAGGCATCAATTACTTTAGCAATACTACATAATTACAGCAGAGGGAGGAGACAGTAGGGACAGTCATCCTAACGCCAAATCATTTGGCTACCCTACTGTGTAAGAAAAGAGAACTAGGAAACACCTATGAAGAAATGTACAGAAAAGACTCTAGAAACAAGAAACAACTTTTTTGACCTGCTCTCCCACAACCATACTGAATGGATAATTCCCTCAGTCCTGATTTTTTGTTGATCCCGCTAATTTGATCTCACAAACCGGGTCACCGGGAGGCTTGAGTTAATTAAACTCAACTGGGAGGACTCTTTCCATACTCTCATTCAGGGCTCGTTCAGAACATGATTCGAATAAGCTCAGAGAATCAACCCCAAAATACCCCCTTCTGGGAGAGTGGTTCATGCCTTTAAAAAAAAAAAACTTTTTTCAAGAGAAATGTTGCAGACACTACAAGAAAAACAGGTTTGCAGTCAAGATACACCAAGTAATTCAAGTCGGGAGCTGCGTCAGCATGCGTAGGCTGCAAAGGCATAAGTAAAGGTTTATTCCACGCTGAAAAGAGAAGAGAGGAACAACGTTTCGGCTGTGGGGCCTTCTTCTTCACACCTGAAGAAGGCTCCCCAGCCGAAACGTTGTGTTTCTTTTCTCCTCTTTTCAGCGTGGAATAAACCTTTACTTGTGCCTTTACAAAATACACTACACCAAGGTGGGCAGAGGTGGAAAGCAGTAATGTACTGTTCGCAAAATGTGTCTTTTTAAACATTTTCTCAGTATTTCCAGTCTCACAAGAGAGAGACCAAGTAAAAGCTTTGGAGATATCAAAGCCCTACATGCACAACATATATTTTGCCAAATATAATTTGCTACACTGTTTTTATAAAAAGGACAAAGGTTGAACAAACATTCTGACATTCTCAGGGAACACTTTCGTCCTAATTTTTCAAAGTCAAAAAAGGAACTATTAGCTACCCATGCAGGGGTCTCTTAAATTGGCACTGAAAGAGTTCACTTCACATCTTCTCTGCAATGTCACTTTCCGATTAGTAATAAAGAGGGAGCTATCTTAGCCTGACAGGAAGTGTTTTACGAAAATGGCTCTCTGCATCTCCAGGTGTATTCAGTGTGCTGATACCACACATTTTGAGGACTTTCCAACAACGTCCGGGACTGTTATCTGTAAAGCAACAGATAAAAAGAAAATACCACACTGCCTCTCAGTTTAAGAGGCTACGTCAGTACCATTTCTAACATTTCTGTAAAAGAGAAAAATAAAATATGACTGGCGCTACAAGATTGAAAAACAACTGCTTTATCTCCTTGTAAACTGAAAAGGTGTAAAGAGGCTTTTTTTCAAGCCAAACCCCCCCCCCTTCACATTATGGGTCAGGAACACTTTGCAGTTGGTTTTCATTATTTCATGCCTTCTGTATCCCGGAGTGAACAAACCCGTTTGCCTGGTAGTCCGGGGCAGTTCACCTGTCGCAGCATCACGGCTGCACGTCTTGAAATGTCTTGAGAACTTGTTCCAGCAGATTCCTTGATCTTACGCCCCTACCAGTTACAAGCCAAGACAAATGGTGGCACTATACTTCCACACAAGTCACAGCGCCGGCGATACAGTTAACCTTAACTGTAATTTGTCTTGGCATGGTCCAGATCATGCTCAGCTAGGCTTCTCGCTACCTGCCCTGTGTTTCTGCAGTACTGGCGTGTCCACAAAGACCTCCTCCAGAAGAACAGTAACAAAAGGCTCCAAAGAGCTACAGCACTTGCTTTTTGGTCTGTTATTTACCTATTTGTGAGCCAGGAGCACAGCGATAATGACCTATGATGTCACAATGGCCAAAGCACATACTTCTGTTCTTTTGGAAGGGGTCAAAGGGCACAGAGAACGCCAACCCCCCCACCAGCCATCATCATCCTAAGTCCTTAGAAGCAGAGCATAAAAAATACCTAGAAGCTGTCAGGATGGGAATGAGGGTTAGAGCCTTAAAAGAGCCATCAGCAGTTCTGGAAACAAACTACTCTTTAGTTAGGCAGGGGGATGGAGGTATGCTGGGGCAGAGATCAGAACTGCAGCTGGACTGAAGGACTTTCCGAAGGACTTAGTGAGAACCGGTGGTTTAACCATGCATGCCTCTTAATTATATAATTATATAATAACTATACTGGTGCTATCATCTATCACACCTCTTCCCGACCCCTGTCGGTTTTTCAGGGTTGTGCCGAAAGTCCACTTTTGTCCAGAACGAAGTGTGGCTGTCTCTTTCTCCCACCACACATGGGGTTAGAAGAAATACTGGCAAATACCTGTGTAGAGGGAGCCAGGTGGCACCGATATCCTGGCAAGGTAGGGCGTGGGACAAACCGTGTGGGTGAGGGGACGGAGGGTAGGTGTGAAACAAGTCGTGCTCTGGTGATCCTGTGCGCTTCCCCTGGTCGGAAACTTTAATTTTCG